GAGCGATTGGCCTCAAAGGGCGTTACTGACAGCATATCAATCTTTACGACGTTCTTATGCACTAGGAATAACAATCAGAATAAGAATGGTAATAATCATAGAATCACAGCAGCTACCATTCCATCTGAGGGCTCTGCCAAGTGCTTTGCACCTATTAGCCTCTATAATCTTCAAAACGACCTTTAAGAAAGAGTCTGTTACTCTCTTCAATTTACAGATGTGGAGACTAAGGAAAGAGCTGTTAAATAAGCATCTGAGGGTGGCAGAGCCAGGTAAGGCCATGGGGAATCTCATGCAGGTCAGCCGTCTGTCTGTCCATTTCCCCCCTCGGCTTCTCCCCTTCCCGGCCTTCCTGTAGTGAGGCGCCCCTCTGCCCACAACAGGCACAGATCCCCAAGCTGCAGGGGCACCCAGCGCCCAAGCAGGTGTCCCTCAATTCCTGCTCTGATCCATGCCCTCAGGTCCTCCCCCAGCCCCCGCTCCCTCCCCTTCAGTCATGGGCCCCCGGGCCCCAGGCAAGCCCGAGCCAGCTCACACAGAACTTTCAGAGAAAGGGGATCCTGCCCAGCAAAGCCAGCGCCAAGAAGCAGCCCTGAAGCCACAGCGGCTGTTCAACCGGTCAAACCGGAAAATCACTGGGCAGCGTCCTTGGAGCCCAGGTGGCCTTTCGAATAAGAAGGTCTGGAGACCATGTGACGCGTGTACTCTGGGAAGAGCAAGGACGGCAGTCCTGTCAGCTTCATGAGTGGCTCACATGACACTCCTGGCCACCATGCAGAAAGGGAACCAAAGGCCCCCTCCCTGCATGTAGATGTCACCTAGGCTGGGACACAGTCTCCCTGCTGGGGCAGGCAGCCCCGCTCACATGAGGCCCTTTCAGAAGTTGCCAGCCTAACTGGTTCAAATGGTTCTCCACTTCCGGAGGGAAAGGAGAATGGGACCTGTGTGGAGTCTGGTGTGGCGGCTACAGGAGAGATGTATGGCAGAGAGAGGAACCCAGCTGCCGCCACGGCCCTTGACTGGTCTCCCCGCTGTGGGTCTTAATTCCTGCTCCCCGCCAGTACCCAAATGCCACTGTCACCACGTCATCACCCAACCCAGGAACCTTCTTCTGTTCCACTTTGGAGGCCCAAGGCCCACCCTCTGAGCCAGGCCCTCAGTGACCCCTGCCCTTATTCATCCATTAATTCAACAACATGTCTGAAGCTCTAGCCTGGCCCTATACCAGGATGATGAAAACAAAGAGGAATAAGGTTTGGTTTCACCCTCATGCCTTAAAGTAGACTTTGGGAGACAGAGAGATAGAGGAATATTCTCACTCTTCCCCTAAAAACTCCCTTCTGTTCTAGCCAGACTGCCCAGCATCCCATGAACGCCCACTGGATTCCCACCTCTGTCGTCTCTGCTCCTGTTATCCCATCTGCTCCCTCCCCTCCAGGAACTGAAAAGCAGCCCACATCGCAAGGCCTCCCCTCAGCCTCCCTTCCTTCTAGAGCCTTCCCTGCCACTTCTAGTCAGAGGGGCCTCCTCTCGTCTGGCCTCCTCTAGCACTTTGTCACAGCACTAGCACTCTCGGTCCCCTGCCCAGTCGCTGGCTGCCTCCTACACCCTGGCATCCTTATTTAGCTGCTGGTAAGGCCCGCAAGAGCTTCCCAATAGTAACAACGATCCTAACTGATCCCGGACCTGTGAGGAGTGCTTCACCAAGTGCTTCCAGATCTCGTTGTGGTCTTAGCTCTTTTTGCCTGTGTGCAGGAAAAGGTGGACAAAATAGGCCTCTAAAATGTCTGGCACAGTGCTTTGTAGTGAATCCTTAATTAATTAGTTTAACAGGTGAGGAACCAGCAGAGACCATTAAGGCCTGGGCTGCCCACCTGCACATGACTCTCCAGGTGGGTGCAGCCGTGTGGGGAAGGCTGGCTCGTGGCACAGATCCAGCCCACACCACCTGCCTACCTGCGGCCTAAAGAGAAGAGGGGCAGTCAGTGCCTCAGCTGGCCTGGGAGGTATCCTCACTGCTCCCTGGCAGGCCCTTCTCTGGAACATCACAGGCTCTTCGGGTAAATGGCATCAACAGTAAATCACAAAAGTGCCAGCTGAGGTCACGTCAACATAATCCAAGAATCTGAACTCCGACTTGGCAGTAACTGGTGAAATGCCTCGTTTTCCCCATTTCACCAAAGTCTCTGGGAAAAGTGCCTCGATCAATGTCCAGCATGGCAAAAGAATGTGTCTTAGGCATGGAGCAGCTTGAGAGAGGTGACGACGGGTATTCTTCTTCTTGGAATTTCCAGGTCTCAGCCCTGGCTAAAGGGCCCGTTGCATTTTTCCTGAATGGATAAATTAATGACTCTGACTCGGTAGTACCCATTTTCTTGGCTCCTTGATTTGCCTCCTGGCTACCCTTTCCAACTCCATGGGAAACTTTCTGGATCACTGCGGGGAAAACTTTTCTTGACCATCCAACTCTGTCCCTAGGCTGTAGTTACTGCTGAAAGACATGCCCAAGATGAGGTAGAATCACAAGTGCCTTAGGTAGCTTCAAACAGAACCCACGCAGTCAAGAAGCCCAGTGGGCAGATTTGAAAAGGCGAGTGGGAAGAAAGACAGGTTTCTTTTCTTTCCCATGGAACCGAAACTTCTAAACAGTCCTCTGCGTCCTGGGAGAAGGTAGACCCACCCATCAGAAGCAGAGGAAGCACCTGCTCAGGTTTTAGGTCAATACACCAAGGGCCTGAGGGGCTGGGATGGGGAGTGTGCTATAGAGAGACCCCCACTCAGTTCACTGATTCACCTCCTCTAGAGTGCTCAGCCCCAGGGGGACTCTGAGGATGACCCTACGACCTGTGAGGGGAAACTGCACGTTTGCCCCTCTAGCAGGCAGGAGATATCCCAAAAGAGAGAAGGTGAGAGAGACATAAGGAGAAGGACTGGTGATTAGTAATTGGGGGGCAAGGGACTTAAGGAAAAAACAAGCCTCAGAAGGGCCATCTTGGGATTTCAGAAACATCAGTTCCCTCATTTGTCTGCGAGAAAGGGGGACACTTTCCTAGGAGAGGCTAGCTCCCCTAACAACACGGAGCAGGAGCCCAAGAGCTTCTGAAAGGAAGGGATGAATAAAGTGCTCTAGGGGAGAAACCTAGGTCACTCCTTGGAGTTGAAATGTGGCCAGAATACCAGGGTGCCATCTACTGCTCATCAGGTAAGGTCCAGGGACCACCAGCAGTCCATAGCCCCCTGGGATAGCTCAGCAGTTCCTGGCACCAAGTCCACACATAAAATAGCTTCAGAAAGTTTCCTTAAACGCTAACATGCTGCCCTTTGTTCCCAGGACTGCTGCCCTTTGTTCCCAAGCCAGCAATGTGTCCCCATATCCCATCTGCTTCCCAGCCCCCCTCTTTTGCTCACTCCCAGGCCCTTCCAGTGCCTCCTCTTCCCTGAGCCTTCCCCTCGAGGCATGCCATCCTCTCTTGGCTTCTAGGACCAGGCCCATCCCTCCCAGATAGGTATCTCTCGTCCAGGCAGTGGCCCAGTCTGAGCTCCAGAACTCCGTAGCCTGCCTCACAGCTCCCCTGAGAAAGATGGATGTATCTGTTCCTTCCCCCTAAGTCCCTTGAAGATAGTGAAGCAAAGAGAGAAGGAGACCCCGGGAGCTCAAGAACAATGACAACAGTAACAACTAACTAACATGAAGCTCCACATGTGTCCAACTCTGTGTTAAGTGCTTTTACAAACATAATCTCATTTAATCCATATAGCACCTCAGCAGGTAAGTACTGTTATTATTCCCATTCTACAGATGAGAAATGCCAGCTCAAAAGCTTAAGCAGTATTCAAGGTCACATGGTCCCAAAGTGAGGTCTCCAGGTCTATGTGACAACACAGCCTGCCTCTTTACTATGGGTCTCTGTCCTTTCTGGCTGGCTCTACCTGCTCTCTCTTTTCTCTTGGCAAAGAAGGTGTGTTGGGAGGGAGGGTGGGAGCCTGGAGTGGGAGCTGAGTGCAGGGGCTCCCGCCCACTGAAAGGGGGACCTGGGCCATGCTGAGGCTCCTCCAGGGCAACAGTGGGGGAAGCTGTTAGATGTGGTGGAATTCTCTCAGTTCAGACCTCCCAAAGGTCGGGGCCCCTCAGGGCCCAAGGGGGAGAACCCCCCTCAGAGGGGCGCCACTCGCCCATTCCCAGAACAAGAGATGCCATCATAGTTCTGCCTGGGAAGCCAGGAGATCTTGTCCCTCTAAGCACAGGCTCCAGCTCTGCCAGATCAAACCAATGTCCTGGAAAGTGGGTCCTATCAGCCATCTGACCCGAGGTGTGGAGAGTAGTCCTAACATTCCTCATCCTCCTCAGCCTCCTTCAAAACAAATCTTTTGCCAACTGTTTTTCTGGAGCTGGCTAGTAAGTGCCCCTGTCGCAGGCAAACACGCTCACGGAATCAACGCTTTCCTCCAGGTGTCCCACCTTGTGGCTTACCTTAACAACTGTGCTCTGGAAACTCAATCCCCTCGGCCCCTCCCTTCCCCCTCCTGGCTCCACACTGGGTCACCCCTGAACTGAGGGTACCCAGTGACTCAGTGACGCGGCTCCCCACCCTGAACCCCTCTTCCGGAGCACAGGCTTTCCTTCCCCTCCCCCTCTCCACCTGGGGGTGTGGGGGAAGTCATTTCAGTGGCTATGATTCTCGCTGCCCCAGCTCGGGGTACCCAGGCCTACGCTCGCCCCGGTTGTCTGGGCTCCAATGGGGAGGCTCCCCAGTGCGAGGCCGGAAGAACCTATCCCTAATCAAGGGCCACGGCAGGGACGCCCTCACCTCCAGGACCCGCGCCTCAAGTCCCCAGGCGGTGGCCCCTCCCCGGGATTTCTTCCCTGGTCCTGGCCTCCCGCGCCAACGCCTCCAGCCAGAGAGGCGGCCAGTTCTCCCGGGCTGGGGCAGGGGCCGGGGGCCGCCCGGGCCAGCTGTGGCGGTGGGGAGGGTGGGGCCCCTCCGGCCACCGCCCCTTACCGATGGTAGAGATGTGCGAGGAGTGGAACTCGTTGTCGGTGAAGCGGCACAGCAGGCAGGTCTTGCCCACCCCGGAGTCCCCGATCAGCAGCAGCCGGAACAGCACGTCGTACTGCTTCGCCATGGCTGGGGCCGGCGCGGGCCGGGGGGCTGCGGGCTGGCGGCGGGCTCAGCCCCGCTCGGCCGCTGCCATCGCGGCTCGCGCCCGCCGGGGGAACGCCGCGGGCTGCGAGGAGGAAGCCGGGCCGGCCCGCTAGCTCGGGGCCGGAGAGCGCGGCGCGGCGGGAGCGCGGGTGGGAGGAGAGAGCGACGGCGGCCCCCGCCCGCCCCTTCCCCCGCGCCGCCGCCGCCGCCGCCCGAGTCCCGGGAGAGGGGGCGGGGAGCGCGCGCGAGAGCTCGGCGACCCCACAGCGGGGGCCGGGCGGGGGCGCGGCGGAGGGTGCGCCGCCGGGACTGGAAGCCCGCCCCTTCTCCACCCCCGTGTGCCGGACTCGCGACCCTGGGGACGTTCTGAATGCGGGAGTTGAGGTGAGCTCCCACCCGGCCCACCTCTACCAAACTCAGCTTTCGGGTCTCATCACTTCTCCCCAAATCCCACCCGGATCCTGGCCCTGCTAACCCCGCCCCGGCACCCCGCCCCTGCGGGGGCCGGGCCGGGCCTCGCAGAGTTGGTCCTCACTTGGGCTCACCCCAGGTCGAAAGGCCTTGATCAGGGTCTGCATTCAAACACCCAGCTATTCTTGAAGTCGCTGTCTCCAGGAACACTGGAGAAGAGTGTTGCTAGAATTCTCTCTCCGCCATCTGGCTTGCCCGGAACCCTGTGTGACTGTGTCCGCCCTCCTCCAACACCTCATCCCAGCTTTTATTTAAACGGGTTTACAATTTCTGCTGACCTCCTCCAGGACGATGAGAAGATAAATGATCATAAAAACGTTTCCGAATGCACAATTCTTCACGCGGGCAAAAGTATCCATTTTGGGTCTAAGCTGGTTAGAATAGGTACTCGGGGAGCCAAAACATTATTTCAGACCACTAAGTATTTCTGCTGGTGTACACCAGTGACACCAAAGAACGCATGGGCCTCTTTCAAGACCTTACTACCACTGAATGTGTTAGCACCAGAGAGAGGCTGACGGATGTTTTCTGGAGTCTAAAAAATTGTGTATTCCTAAGACACAGTATTAGTGGTGAACAAGCCCAGCTCATTAGATCTTTAAAAAGTGATGAAAAGTGTGCATCTGAGTATTGGATAGAGAATCTATTTTTCAGTAGTAGGTTAAGGAAAGCAGTAAGTCCATCTTCTTGACTTGGAGTTGTACTTCAGGCAGTGTGTCTAAACTTATAATAAAGAGGAAAAACTCCTGAACCCGATAGCTACTTTGATGACATGAAAAGTTAAGAGAATGGATCCTGTGAATTCCATTAAGATTTTGAAGATTCCCAGGTGTATTTTCCTTTACTGGATTTACACTGGGTTTCAGGCGCGTGCTGGGGTCTCTGGAGTCAGGCACACTGGGCTCCGGCCACAGCTCCTCCAACTTACTGGCTGTGAAACCTAGATTATGTTACTGTACGCTTCCATGCCTCAGTTTCCTCATCTGTAAAATAGGGATATCCTCACAGGATTGTTGGAAAGATGAAATAATGTGTGGAGAGGACTTAGCATGGCACTTGACAGTACTTAGTAAGCGCTGAGGGATGGAAACCACCTGTAATGTTTTCCCCATGCATACATGGGTGGTAAGTGTATCCCACAGACGGATGTTTTCCAGGGACTTGGACCATCCTGCTGTGATTCTCATCCACACTACCACACCTAGTGTGGAGTGCAGGTTCAACTCAGCCTCACCCCCTTTGGGCACTGCAGCTGCCTTCCCATTGACTGGCATCGTAGTAATAAATATTCTCCACAGGCCTGCTTAGTGGGACCATTAGTGGTTCTTTGTTTGCTTCTGCCCAAGAAATAGGAAAGAAGATGCAACCTGAGGTAAGTTCTTAGTCTGAGAAGAAACTTCACTTTGAAGGAAATGGCTTTCCCTAGGCAAGACAGGAAAGGAAGTGAGGTTTCCTGAATGAACCTGGGGAAATAAATACTCATAAAAAAAAATTAAGGATATCTCATTATTCTTTATTCAGTAGCTTACATTGTTTTAAAAACAGAAAAGAAAAAAGGAATCATCTAGAAGTCCAAGAAGCTAGGTTGTCCATTCATGTCCTGGCTCAGCTGCTTTCAGAAATACTTGTGTGTGTGTTTCGCACACTATGAGATGGAAGAGCTATGATTTGGGGAGAGTGCTAGCAAAAGAACTATATAAACTGGTGAAGACAACAGTTTGCTGTAACCAGGGACTTTATAAGGAAAATACCTAATTCTACCTCCTTACATTGAGAGTGTTGCTAGAATTCTCTCTCCGCCATCTTATCTCCACCTCCTTACATCAGCACTCAGGGGACATTCTGGCATCCTCCCCAGTTGAGGTCAGCTTGGACTGGGACAGGTTTCAGTAGAGCTGGGAGACGTCTAAGAATGGTTGCTGGATGTCTCTCCCACAAGAAGCCTCCAAAAATCAGTTTCTCAGTTATGTTATGCTCATTCTTTTACCAGGGAGACAAGTGCCTGCCCCTGCTTCCTGCCACCCCCAGCCCAGCCACACTGAGCATGCTCCCTGTTTAAGCAGCCAGCAGGGGCACTATGGTGAGATCTGCCATCACCAGAGCTGAATAGCGGGAGAGATGTGCTGATAGGCAACCCACTGCTGAGACCAACACAGCTGGACCATGGGGCTCCTCATTAGCAAAACCCTATGCGTCTTCCAGATTCACATCTGTCTTTCCAACTTTGGCTGACATAAGTAATGTGCTCACCTTGTAGAAGATTGCCTGCCACCTTATCTCAGGAGTAGGAGAAACAGGACAGAACCCCCTTTCCCATCATCTCAGTATTATTCTCCATTCATATCCTCTTTCCTTTCTTTTTAAAAAGATTTTATTTTTAGGGAATCTCTATACCCAACATGGGGCTTGAACTTAACCTCCCTGAGATCAAGAGTTGTATGCTCTACCTACTGAGCCAGCCAGGTGCCCCTATCCATCTTCCTTTCTATCTCTAATAAGTAGAGAAAGGGGGGAAGAGAGTCTGAAATGACAAGGGAAGAGGGGAGAAGGCAAGTTCTCAGAGACACATGAATTTTGGGGTTGGGGACTAAAGGAAACAATCCTGATGGTAAGTCAAGTTAACACAAAAGGACCCACAGTACACTTTAGGTTGTCCTTGGTGTCCTGGCCACCACCTTCAGGACTGTATTAGCTTGGGCTTCCGTCACAAAGTACCACATACTGGGTGGCTTAAACAAAGTTTATTTTCTTACCATTCTCAAGGCTAGAAGTCCAAGGTCAAGGTATTTCTTAGACCTTTGTCCTTCCACGTGGCCATCTTCCTATTCGTGTTCTATGCCTTTCTGTGTCCTATTCCCCTCTTCTTGCAAAGACATCAGTCACATTGGATTAGGGCCCAAACTTAAGACCTCATTTTACCTTGATTACCTCTTTAAAATAAATAAAATAGATAAAAATAGTCACATTCTGAGTCTTTAAATGTTAGGACTTCAATGTATGAATTGGGGGGGCAGTGGGAAGACACACAATTCAAACCATGATAAAGAACAAATCCAAGAGCCTCATCAGATATTTCCTGTGCACAGAGTTTTTAGGAATGATTTCATTATCTTGGAATAGGAAGTAAAAGTTCATCCTTTCCTGTGGCTTCCTAACAGGTGGTCTAGACTGTCGATGAGAGGATTTCGAGGTGGGAAAACCTCAGGAGATTCTTTCCTTTATGAGACTAGAGTGGAGAAGACATAACTAGTGACCACCGACCAGGCAAAGTATGTCATATCAGACTTTTACTGTCAAAGTTATGTTTGGGGGTTGGGGTGGGGTCAAGATATAACCTGCAGTTAGGAATCTATGTAGGAATAAAGTCATTCAGTATATATATGAGTTAAGGTAATGTTAAATACTGTAACAGATAAAGCCTTCAATCGCAGGCACTCACATATAAAGACTTCCTTCTCATGTAAAGTGTGTTGTGCTGCTAGGTGGTGGGAATGGGGGTGACTCTGTGCTACAAAGTCACTTAGGCACCCAGTGTGGCAGAGGCTCTGCTGTCTTCAATAAGAACTCTCACTGTGGGATTCAATTTAAAAGCAAGACATGCTCTTTATAAGATCTGCCTTGCAGGAAGGATGGAGGAAAGTGCCTGCCAAGCAAGGATTGGGAAATATCACCCTCCAGTCCCTCACACTTCCAAGGTTACAGGCTTTCTTTTCCTAGCTATATCCCTGAGACTTCCTCTAAGACTGCCTCGTACACAGCAGGGGAGGAGGGGGGTCCACGATACTCTATAGGGAAGAGGAAAGTTTGGGACACTCAATGGGGGAAGGGGAGAGTTGACTTTGTAGTCTTAAATTAGCAAACTTTGGGGCACCTGGGTGGCTCAGTCAGTTGAGCATCTGCCTGTTCAGCTCAGGTCCTGATCCTGGGGCCATGGGATTGAGTCCCACATCGGGCTCCTTGCTCAGCAGAGACCTTGTTTCTTTCTCTCCCTCTGCTGCTCCCCCTGCTTGTGTGGTTCCCTCTCTCTCTGTCAAATAAATAAATAAAATCTTTAAAAAAAGTTAGCAAACTTCAAAAAATCTATTTAAAAGGAGTAGTAATAATACACATTTGAAGGAGGTCACAATATTTGCCTGGAAAATCATTTGGAATCTCTGAAACGGATTATGGCCATTTGTCCAGCGGAAGAAAACACTAATGATCTCTTTGTTACTTGAGATTTTGAACTTTTAGAACATGGGGCAACAAGTTCTTTTTTTTTTTTTTTAAGATTTTATTTTTTTATTTGACAGAGATCACAAGTAGGCAGAGAGGCAGGCAGAGAGAGAGGAGGAAGCAGGCTCCCCACTGAGCAGAGAGCCCATGCGATGCAGGGCTCGATCCCAGGACCCTGGGATCATGACCCAAGCCAAAGGCAGAAACAAGTTCTTTTGAATATGGAGAGTTGCCTTGGGAACTGACATCCTATGGTGGGGAGGGGAAGAGAGGAAATAGAGGCTCAAGTAGGTTTTGAAGGGCCAGGCCTGGATGTGGTAGATACCACTTTTGCC